CTTTTTTTATTATTAATGCTTCGACAGTTCCATTGAACTGCTAGGGAGAACTTTGCCATCAGCAACAGAACTAAGGTCAACTACGAGATCATTATTTTGAAAGGCAACGTTGGGCGGTACTAAATTAGAATGATTCAAAGATGTAATCAGTGTAATAATTAATTCCTTAATTGACATATTTGTTAGAGTATTAGAGTTGTCATTTTTTTCTAAAATATTTTTACTTGGACCAAACGGGGTATTATAATCATTGGTAAAACTTTGATGCTGTTCTCGGTCATAACTTTTACCTGGCTGGAATGGAGATCTAGGTTTCATTAAAACAGTTTTTTTATAAGAATCCCACACTGGGTTATTGTTAGGGATATATTTCAATTTTGAGTTCTGAAGGTTTCTAGAAGGTTGAGATTGAGTAGAGCTACCAGATCTTACAACATCTGCAAATGATTTACCAATTGGAGGATGCTGTTTTAATGCTTCAGCATAGGAAATGCAACTTTTGGCCATTGTTTCTTTTATGTTTTTTTGTCGTGAGTATTCAGGGCATTTTCTATTTGTGGCCTGATGGGGACCTGAGCACAAGAAACATACCACATTTTCTTCCTCAACATTACAGGAATCTCCGGAGTGGCCAAGACCACACTTATAACATCTCGGTAGAGACCTACATTGGTTCTTCACATGACCGTAGCGACAGCATTGGTAGCATTGGATTGTGGGATATATGTAGAGATCAACCGGCAAAGAGTTGTAGCAGACAAAGATTCTTTTAGGAAGAACTTGGCCATCAAAAGTGATAACCACTGTCTCAATGGGGACAAATTCAGGCTTTCCATTTGTAATAGTCTTTTTTTTTAAACGTCTAATTTTTAGAATTTTACCACAACCCATTGGTAATGTAATGTTATTTAAGATATCCTCATCGCTCCACTCTGTAGGAACTCCTCTGACTACTCCCATCCGTGTGATGTTGAAAATTGGAATAAAAGTCTTGTAATTATTTGACTTAAGCGTGTCATTATTAAGGAATGCATTGGCATCTTCAAATCGGGAGAAAGCCAAAGAAATTCGATTTCTACCTATTTTTTTCATGCTACCATCAACAATGCCTCTTATAGACTTTCGTTTAAGGAAATGCCCTACTGTTACAGGGTGCAGAGTACAATTTTCATTTGGCATAGTTTGTTCTTTTTGTATATGAACAACATAAGGTGCAACATCAGTAGCCTCATATAAGTTTCTACTTGTCGAGTAAGGTTTCGTTTTAGAAAATGACCCACAGTCACGGGGTGCAGAGTACAGTTTTCATTTGGCATAGATTGTTCTTTCTGTATATGAACAACAAAGGGCGCAACATCAGTAGCCTCATAAAAGCATCTACTTACCGAATTAGGTGCAGTAGGGGTCGAATCAGATGTGTGGGACTGAGTAGCAACAGGAGTTGATGGAGTAACAAAAGGAATCTCATTTTCAACAACTTTTTTAGCGCTATTTACGTTCTCTGTGTTTGCACAACAACAATCAGAATCATTAGGTACCTGGCTCAATGTAGAAGATTTGTTATGACGACTTTTACGCTTTTTATTACAATGCTTGCAAACTTTACGTACAACTACTCTCTTTCTTTTAGAAGGGTTANAAGTAAGGTGGTGTTGAATCAGATGTGTGGGACTGAGAAGCAGCAGGAGTAGATGGGGTAACAAAAGAATTCTCTTTTTCAACAACTTTCGGAGCACTATTAACATTCTCAGTGTTCGTACAACAACAATCAGTATCATTAGGTACCTGGCTCAATGTAGATGATTTGGACCCATTTATGCAAACAAGAACCAACCCACACTGCCGCACAATTTATAAACGCAGTAAGTAACACGTGAACAGTTTCGAGAAAAACGCGATCAAAGTTGAAATTTTGTTTTGGAGTGTCTACAATTAGTTACGCAAATATTTGTAAAAAAAAATGTATGGGCTTATAGAGTCATACCTATCTTCTCTGGCACATGAGAAACCAGAAATTTTGAAGTTGGAATCTGGACGAAGCCAGGTTTCTTGTAAAGCAATTAAAAACGGATCAAATTCATTAATCAAATGTAATAAATCACTTTTTTTATTATTAATGCTTCGACAGTTCCATTGAACTGCTAGGGAGAACTTTGCCATCAGCAACAGAACTAAGGTCAACTACGAGATCATTATTTTGAAAGGCAACGTTGGGCGGTACTAAATTAGAATGATTCAAAGATGTAATCAGTGTAATAATTAATTCCTTAATTGACATATTTGTTNCACCTACTAACCTCCGTCTACGCGTAGGCCACAGATTAACTTATGCCCGTTATCATCATCAATCCTTAATTTTTAAGTGACCCCTATGAAAACAAAATTACCGTTATATGTTACCATAGGGGTTACTTAAAAATTAGGAATTGATGGTGAAAACGGGCATTAGGCTAACTACTAACTACTGACCTATCCTAAAGACTACATTTTAATAAATCCAAGTTAGGTGATTGATTGGGAAAATAATTTATAACATTACTTTTACCTATTTAGTTACCTTAATAGGTTTCAACTTGTTGGTAAGGTAGGGTACTAAGTATGTACTTATCTACGGTCGGTAAGTAGGTAAGTAGTAGGTATATCCTAAGTTACGTCTTGTTTACCTACCTATAATTAGAGATGGGTAGTGGGTAAAAACCCATTTCACCCGATTGGGTTAAAACTGGGTGATTTGGGTAAAAACCCGGTTTTTACCCATTATCACCCATTCTGGTGGGTGAAAACAAAAATAGAGTTTTTTTAAAGTGAGAAGTGGTATTTGTTGCTAAGGGGGCGTTCTAGTGTTACGTAATTCAATCTGGNATTTGTTATGGCGACTTTTGCGCTTTTTATTACAATGCTTGCAAACTTTACGAACAACAATTCTCTTTCTCTTAGAAGGGTTAGAAGCATTTTCAGATCCGTCCGTGTCAAATACAGAACCTTCCGTATCCATACCTGACTGGCTACATGTTGTAATAGTAACAAAACTAGACGCCTGGGGGGTTGTCCCGCCAGGATCGTCCGGCTCGTTCATCACGAGAAAAAACAATCAAAACTCACCCAGAACTGCAGAGGTGAATACTACACTATAATAAAATAATAAATATAACTTAAAATACCACTTAAATATACACTAAACCACCAATCTGATCCTTTTTTCTAATTTAAAAGTTAAGAGCAAGAAAAATGACGTCCACCAAGTACGACGTTTCCCGCGCTTTTTCAGAGTTCAAGTTTGTTGGCATTAGCACGTATTATACTTGAGTCCCACTCCAGTCATTCAGTCAAGTTCCAGAAACGAATCGGTCCTATTCATAATTATTGGTTTAGGTTAGGTTAGAACTGTGACCACAACGCACCAGCCGAGCGAGCGAAGCCAGAGTCCCGCTCCAGTCATTCAGTCAAGTTCCAGAAACGAATCGGTCCTATTCATAATTATTGGTTTAGGTTAGGTTAGAACTGTGACCTAACGTGTTCAATTTTACGATTTGGCCACGATATAAATGCATATTAGTGTTAAATTTGACTTATTACTTATTAATCAATAAACTTAAATGAGAAAAATTCAATAAAAATAAAGAAAAGATACCAATTGAAATAATTATAAAATTATTTGTTTTCACCCGGTGTAAACACCCACGGGTGGAATGAAACGGGTTTTTATTGGGTTTTTACCCTCATGTGGGTTTTTACCCGGGTGGAAACCCATCTCTACATAATACGAGTAGCTACTAATTTAATTTAGTTACTTACATAACGTAATTTAATTAGGCACCATTGGACAATAAGACGTGTTAAGCGTGTAGGTTTAAGGCTATTTTGTGCTATTACTTACCTACCACAGAATAAGTTTAAGACATTCAGGGAAATAATTGTTAGGACTAGAAAATAAATGTTTACAGACGGATGCACGATCATCCATGCTAATTAGTAGGACCTAAGTTAAAACTGTACCCGTCTAGAATAATATTCTGAATGAATGTTCTCTCTCCGCATACCTACTTACTTACAACAAACAGATTTCATCATTTGTATTCGTATTTCGTCACTTATAAAATAATTACTATGTCGATGACGTGTAATGTCTATTCATCTTACATTAAGTAATTATTTAGCTAGGTGGAAACTAAGGGTGGAAATTGGAAAATTTATGGTGGACTTAGCCATGTCATGTGGCAAATTAACTATATTCTACAATTTCTATCAGTCTTTTCATGATATTATTAGGATCTCACAAATGTTTGTTCGTTCTAAAAGGGTTTGTAGATACCTAGGTAGGTCCCACTTAAGTAGGTGGTCTATCACGATAGGTACAACATTTACTTACTTAAGTAAAACTAAAATAATGAGATCATAACAAAATTTAAACAATAAGTACTTATTAAAGATGACGCATTCCCTGTTTTCTAGAAGCCTGTTTATTTCCTCGCCAGACAACGCGAATACTAATTTAGTATTCTTTTGTTTTGTTTGGGTGTCGTTTCTAAAGGGGATCAATACCAGTCGGGGTGAATCGGCTTTTCTCGACTTTTCCCGACACAAAGGACACGAGCGAGCACGATCAATACTACACCTTTTAATACTTGCAAGTGCGGTAATTTTCCCCAAATAAGTGGAAAATTGTGAATGTAAGTAATTTTGTCTGTGGTCGTGCGAATTAAATTTTTGTTACATCATCTTACTTTGAACTACACTAAAGTTAGAATAATTACACATTGTCCCTAAAACCATCAGGTACTAGTACTACTTTTATTAACAAAGTTAATGTGGGAACATATTAATTTTATCAATGTTGTGTTTCAAAGATTTTTCGGCATTTAGGCCGTTTAAAATATTATAGAGTTTTATTTTTTGGTAGTTAAAGTAATTATTAGCTTAACACCACGATGCACGATGCGATGTATTTCTACGTATTTTTCCTTTTAGGGAAATTACAATTTTAGTCTGGTAACACCATATTTTTCCGACTATAAATACAGAATTCCACGCCTTTGGCCGAATCATTTCAAAGCGAGATATTGAAAAGAGAACGAAATCGTGACACATCGTGTGACTTTTCAGAGTTGTTTGTTGGATTTAAATAATTTTGAGTATTAATTGTGCAATTAAATTAAGACAAAATTTTAGTGAGTAATCGGTAAGTGCTTTTTATATATTTTCATCATTGTAGAATACAATTCTGTTTGCGCTCATGGCAACTGCGCATTATGCGTTATTGATTGCATTGAGATAAGAACGCCATTTTGTAGTGTTTGGTAAAATTGTTCCACTTTTTAACTATATTGGTACCTACCTTTTATTTTTATGTACATTCATTATTTCGATGGTACTTATTGGTAAATGAATAATACAGTAATTGGAAAATTACGACGAGTTGCCCTTCTGTAGAAACTATTTCAATTGCGTCAGCCTGATTCGCACGATAATTTATTGTGAAATCGTAAGGAAATCTTATTATAAAAGGTCGTTACTTCCTTGTTCCCTGTTGGCGTGAAGCCAGACTACTTTTGTGTGCAAATAAAGGTGATTAACCTTAATTTTTCTTTGTTTCTAGGTCAAGATGCAGATCTTTGTGAAAACTCTAACGGGAAAAACTATCACCTTGGAAGTTGAGCCATCGGATACTATTGAGAATGTCAAAGCTAAGATTCAAGATAAGGAAGGCATCCCTCCAGACCAGCAGCGCCTGATCTTCGCGGGGAAGCAGCTGGAGGACGGCCGCACGCTGTCCGACTACAACATCCAGAAGGAATCCACCCTCCACCTCGTGCTGCGCCTGCGCGGAGGTATGCAGATCTTTGTAAAGACTTTGACTGGCAAAACTATCACACTGGAGGTCGAGCCGTCCGACACCATCGAGAATGTCAAGGCTAAGATCCAGGACAAGGAAGGCATTCCCCCAGACCAGCAGCGACTGATTTTTGCTGGTAAGCAACTTGAAGATGGTCGTACTCTTTCTGATTACAACATCCAAAAGGAATCCACACTCCATCTTGTGCTGAGGCTCCGAGGTGGTATGCAGATATTTGTTAAAACACTTACTGGTAAAACGATCACACTGGAGGTTGAGCCTTCTGATACAATTGAAAATGTAAAAGCAAAGATCCAGGACAAGGAAGGCATCCCTCCAGATCAGCAACGACTCATTTTTGCTGGCAAACAATTGGAAGATGGACGCACGCTCTCTGACTATAATATTCAAAAAGAATCGACTCTTCATTTAGTACTTCGTCTCAGAGGGGGTATGCAAATCTTTGTGAAGACTTTGACTGGAAAGACAATCACATTGGAAGTTGAACCCTCAGACACAATCGAAAATGTTAAAGCCAAGATCCAGGACAAAGAGGGTATCCCGCCCGATCAGCAGCGATTGATCTTCGCCGGCAAACAGCTGGAAGATGGCCGTACACTCTCGGATTACAATATTCAGAAGGAATCGACTCTTCACTTGGTATTGCGTCTGCGTGGTGGTATGCAGATTTTCGTAAAAACCCTGACTGGCAAAACCATCACATTAGAAGTTGAGCCTTCCGACACAATTGAGAATGTTAAGGCGAAAATCCAGGACAAAGAGGGTATCCCCCCAGACCAGCAGCGATTGATCTTCGCCGGCAAACAGCTGGAAGATGGACGCACACTCTCAGACTACAACATCCAAAAGGAATCAACACTTCACTTGGTATTGCGTCTGCGTGGTGGTATGCAGATTTTCGTGAAGACCCTGACTGGTAAAACCATCACATTGGAAGTTGAGCCCTCTGACACAATCGAAAATGTTAAAGCCAAGATCCAGGACAAAGAAGGCATTCCCCCAGACCAGCAGCGACTGATCTTCGCCGGAAAACAGCTGGAAGATGGACGCACTCTCTCAGACTACAATATTCAGAAGGAATCGACTCTTCACTTGGTGTTGCGTCTGCGTGGTGGTATGCAGATTTTCGTAAAAACCCTGACTGGCAAAACCATCACATTAGAAGTTGAGCCTTCCGACACAATTGAGAATGTTAAGGCTAAAATCCAGGACAAAGAGGGTATCCCGCCCGATCAGCAGCGATTGATCTTCGCCGGAAAACAACTGGAAGATGGACGCACTCTCTCAGACTACAACATCCAAAAGGAATCCACTCTTCATTTGGTATTGCGTCTGCGTGGTGGTATGCAGATTTTCGTAAAAACCCTGACTGGCAAAACCATCACATTAGAAGTTGAGCCTTCCGACACAATTGAGAATGTTAAGGCGAAAATCCAGGACAAAGAAGGTATCCCCCCAGACCAGCAGCGATTGATCTTCGCCGGCAAACAGCTGGAAGATGGCCGTACACTCTCGGATTACAATATTCAGAAGGAATCGACTCTTCACTTGGTATTGCGTCTGCGTGGTGGTATGCAGATTTTCGTAAAAACCCTGACTGGCAAAACCATCACATTAGAAGTTGAGCCTTCCGACACAATTGAGAATGTTAAGGCGAAAATCCAGGACAAAGAGGGTATCCCCCCAGACCAGCAGCGATTGATCTTCGCCGGAAAACAACTGGAAGATGGACGCACTCTCTCAGACTACAACATCCAAAAGGAATCCACTCTTCATTTGGTATTGCGTCTGCGTGGTGGTATGCAGATTTTCGTAAAAACCCTGACTGGCAAAACCATCACATTAGAAGTTGAGCCTTCCGACACAATTGAGAATGTTAAGGCGAAAATCCAGGACAAAGAGGGTATCCCCCCAGACCAGCAGCGATTGATCTTCGCCGGCAAACAGCTGGAAGATGGACGCACTCTCTCAGACTACAACATCCAAAAGGAATCAACACTTCACTTGGTATTGCGTCTGCGTGGTGGTATGCAGATTTTCGTGAAGACCTTGACTGGCAAGACCATCACACTAGAGGTTGAGCCCTCTGATACAATCGAAAATGTCAAAGCCAAGATACAGGACAAAGAGGGTATCCCCCCAGACCAGCAGCGATTGATCTTCGCCGGAAAACAANCGAGAAAAGGATGGTACGGCCGTGCTGCTTTTTTGCTCGACTTGGTGGGGGCACTGCCGTGCCCCCAGATTGGGAATTCAATTCATCACTGAACAAATTACGTGCTAACACCACAAATGTTTATTAATAATTCCTGAACGATCAGATCATGATCTGTTTTTGCTTCCATGGGTACCTATTCCGGAAAGTGAGGAAATTAATTATTATGTTTTATGTTTGGTTATCCCAGATTAAATCTTAAATAAAATGTTCTGTTCTGCTGTAGATCGTAAAATACAAAGCTTTCAATAACTTTCGGATTATGAAAAATTATTAGTTCAAAGGATTTTTGAGTTTTAGTTTAAGGATCAATAACATTTTGAGCACAGCATCAAAGGCTGCTTTTAAAAACTTTTTGGAAAAACTACCCCTGTGGAATACAATAAGATTTATTCTCTGAAACGTACAAGAATTTTGGCTGTAAAATAACGAGTATTTTTTGTGCTGGCACTATTTTTCATACAACACTACACTTGTAGTGCCTAACTAGTTCCCAACTAAGAACTTTAGTTCGTTTAAATTAAGTATTCATGTTTATTACAGAATGCTCTCAGCAACATCTCACACATTATTCACGGCGGGAAATCACATTTTGTATGTATTCGCTTGAACCAGCCACTATGAGGCCACAGAGCAGGCATACCCAGAAACATAATTTATGGTTGTCCGACACTACAATAAAACTTCCGAATAAGTTGTTTATAAAAGAGATGGGAAGTGTTTTTCTTTGCTTACCGTTTTTGGTTTTGGTAAGTACAAAAAGCAGTACCTGCTAGTTGTTGTTGTTGTTGTTGTTGTTTCAGCCAAATGACGTCCACTGCTGGACAAAGGCCTCCCCCAAGGTTACCTGCTAGTATGTTAGCTTAAATATTTAAACAGAATTTCCATTATAATAAGGGTTATGTAAAATTCACGGCGAAAACGTTTTTGAGCGTGAGTAAAAATTTTAATGAACCTTTTAAAATGTTTTGTTGTACTTACCTAGAATTAAAATTTCACAGCATCATCGCCTTAAAATAATAAGGATCGTCTTGTGATGTTTCATTTCGCCCATTTAATAATAATTAAAACAAATAGTTCTAGACCTAGTTTAATTCCAATCTTTAATAGTTCATAGTTCATTCTGGCAAGACAAATTCCGTATGCAGGCCTTGAGAGGTGTCACTTCACATTAGATTCAAGTTACTGGATCAATTATACTGTGGTGTGCCTCCTCCATAAGACCAGCACTCAGAGAAAATACCCATGAGATACTCGCACAACCCCCCTAATGGAAAGCCAGGGAATTGTTGTTGCCAAATTGTGTTAATATTATACGAATAGCTTTATTGACCATTTGCTTTTATGACTTAGATCTCGATCTTATAAATTGGAAAACCTAGTAACGGCTTATTTTTTATGTAAATTTTGTGATGTTTTGCAGGGTGATACCTTTTTTGTTAAGGCTCTTATAGTGATGTAATATGTGAAACTCCATGCTATACTGCTTATTCATGCTACTTACTAAGATTTTTATTATGCTCCCAATATGTATGTGAAGGTTGCCTATTTGTTATAATAAATTATAGTTTTTCTCCCACACGTCTGTTCCTTCAGGATCGAACACTTTTTTCGCGGGTAGTTTTAGACCGACCGTAGTGTCGACAGATAGATTGACTGTGATGATTTAGGTCCACTTTTTGCATCTTGCCAAATAGCCCGCCCATCCTTTTTAGATCAGCAGTTTTCCCGCCCACATCCCTTACGCAAATTTTGGCGTCAATTATGTTTTTGTCCTATCAAATCTTTTCATAATGCTTCGGGCCGACGAAATAATGTTTTTTGATTTTAAGCACAAAGAGCAACACACGTTTACGGATTCTATATAAAGCTTTCAGAAGGAGACAATAACCATTGTGATCTAATTACGTTATGTCCACTTGTTTTCTTGATAAAATGGTTGAATGACGCCCAAAGAAAGACAAATCTTTATTAAGTCTCACGCAAGATGTACAAAATAACGAATCCCCTTTATCCTTCCCCAAACTTGTTCAATAAAGCACTTATAGCGTTAATAAAACTTTTTGCTTGGTATATCCAGAACCCTATTTTAGGTCTAACAATGTTGGATCCGAAGGCATTATTGAAGACATTTGACAAAGCATGAAAATTGGTTTTACTGAGTGAAAGAAAATTGTTTTACTTAGCTACTTCAACATGTAATTTAGGTTGAAATGTTCGCGAACGCGAGTTGGCAGTGTGTGTATAGGTTAGGCGGGAATGAGTGTAGAAAGTATGTGAAGATTAAGTGGTTCTTTGAAAGATTATGTTTTAAATTCCTGAGCTGACGATGTAATAAGACTTCAAGAGTTTTCATACACGTTTTCTTGTGTAGGTAAATCCATTAATTAGAGGCGCGTGTATTTCCTTCTTTGCCTAATAAATGTAATTACTTATTAAACGTTTAACCAATAACTTAAATAATTAAGACTATAGCATTTCGTTACCTCATTTCATGCAGCTTTGATCGCTAGTCTTCTGGTGTTTAATTATGCAAGGAAGTATAAGCTGCTTTAATATGCTAAGGTATTAGGAAACATAATTACGTGAAGGTTTCCTGAACAATTATGTACCATGGGGTCACAAGATGTACGAGTAATAATGAATAAGTATTGACGTCGAAGTTACGTCCCCTTGGGAAGGACAGGACGAGAGCAATCAAAGTCTCATTGGCGGGAAAGTTATTTCTGTTGAATATTTTAGGATGTAACAAACTTATTTGTTCTTAAGTATCAGTATCGAATAAGGCTGAGTTCAGATCGCTGCGCGCAGAAAGCGCTATGTTACGGGCGTAAAGAGATATTTAAAGATATTTATTTATTATTATTTATCATCATGATTTCTGCCACAAGACATCCACTGCTGAACATAGGTCTCCCATAATCATTTTCAGACCGACGACATCATATAGGTAGCAGGAAGGCGCTGGACGCAGACCGCTACCAACCGGGCAACATGGAAAGCATTGGGGGAGGCCTAAGTTCAGCAGAGGACGTCCTATGGCTGATATGATGATGAATGATTTTCAGACTGGCCAATCGATAGCGGCCTGCATCCAGCGTCTTTCTGCAACCTATATTAGGTCATCTATCTATGCCGCGCTTGCCAAAACGTGGATTCCATTCCATTCCAGAACCTTGCTGCCTGTCGGCCATCAGTTTCGCGTGTTCGATTCATACATGATAGATAAGGCGTTATGACACCCCGTAGCCCTGCAAGCTTCGCGGATCGAAACATAGTAGACAACCAATTGTAACACCGTCATTATCTGACCGCTTGGGGATTAACGCCTTTATGCACAAACGATGCAGCATATCGAACGCACAGCATTGATAGAGCTCTGTGATTGTCACCCTGTTCGTCCACGCGCACTGTGAGACCTCATAGTAATGTTTGTGAATATGGGCGTAAGAATCTCTTTAAGCGCGATGCGCAACCATCTGAACCTAGCCTTATTCGATAATGGTTCTTCAGGTCAAATATTTACTGAAGAGCAATAAAAAAGTTTTCGATCGTTTTACAGTTACTATCAGAAATTTTATAGGCTTGTTGCGTGCCAATAACAACAGCGTTTATTTCCTAACAATGTCGAACTTGTTATGCCGGCCACTATTCAAAGTTTTATCGGTGAAACATTCCAAGTTCTCTAATAATTTACCTACATTACCTACAAAGGCTACGGCGGAGTTTGAATTAGAATTTTCCTAGTTTCGGGTGCTTATATGGGTTGATTGTTGTTTATCACGAAAACATAAACACAGTAGGTATACACATATAAGTTTACTTTACGCATTGATTGACATTAATTAGGACATTTTTGGTAGGGCTATAACATTATGAATATGAATTTACAATTTTTGGTTATTACTAGCTTTAATGGCCTAAAAGGCTTAGTTATTTACAAAGAAAATCACACTGTTTTAATAGTTAACATAATTAAAGGAAAGTATACTTTAGTTTTTTTAATTAAATATTATTTATAACCCTTACAACATGATTTGTATAAAATTCTGGGTATTTATTAAATCAAATCGACCGTAGTGTGAAGTTAAATGAAACGTTTTCAATCCGAGTTCACGCGCGTTTCCGAATTTCACTTCGACGTTAACATGCGGGTAAGTGATAGCTTTTAAAATATTCTTTTATTCATGCAGTTGTTCAGTCATGAATATAAAAATGTTCCTATATTAATGACAAACGCGCTTTATGAATAAGTTATGAAACAATTTATCTTTTAATTTATTCATCTCTTCGATAAACGTCAAGAAACCTTACGTTGAATTATTTAGCTCCATAATTAATTTTATATTCGGAACATTGACTGGACTTTAGCAATGAAAGATGAAGCAAAATTAATATTCTGAAAAAAATATGTTAAAAACCTTATTAATATGTATAGAAAAAGACCGAGATTAACTTTTTCCTGCAATTGTGTAACAGTTTTAGTTATTCCAGCTAATTAGTATGGGAAACTGCGGCTTCGTACTAATCACCCCTTTTGTTTTAGTTCCACTAGGAAGGAACATTTCTTTACTCTTTCTTTTTCATTCACTGAAGTTTTCTTTGCATTGGGTCAACTGCGGATTGCTGTTAGATGTACGGTTAGCAAAGCAATCGCAAGTTAAATAAACGTCTATACTTACTTACTACTATTATAAAGCTGAAGAGTTTGTTTACTTGAAGCTTGAACGCGCTAGTCTCAGGAACTACTGGTCCGATTAGAAAAAAATATTTTTGTTGGACAGCTCATTTATCAAGAAAGGCTTTATTAAGCTATTTTATAATATCACCTTACAGCCAATAGACAGAAAAATGTCGCAAAAACAGGAAATATTATTCAAACTATTTTCACGCCTACGAAGTCGCGGGCACAGCTAGTAATATTGGGAAACTCTATAGTAGGTACCTATTAAGTTAAGTTTAACATCCGATCCAAACAATTAATCTCTCATATAATATTTACTCAAGATATTGATTACTATGACGCGTGCAAACACAACTCTACATTTATCCGATGGTTACACAGCAACTATTATAATTTCAGTCGTGTCACGATGAACCTGTATGTCACACAAAATGATAAAGTGTCACACGATGTCTTTGTGTAAACTTCCGTGTCTAGTGACACTTTGGAGATATTACTAATTTCGATAAATCACGCGATGTTGAGCATACAAAAGACGCCAAATTCATAAGCCGGTTTCCCTTAATTCAATCCTTGTCCAAATCCGGGTTTCAACTGTCAAATTTGAATCTGTTTTCGATCAAAAATATCCATATTTTTTAATGCGTTTACTACACTTTCGGTGCTTTTTTGCTTGTCAGAACTGTCAGGACATCGCTTCGCTGTCGCCCGTATGTTGTCGAAATGTGTGTGGCCCAGGGATAAGATTATTAAAGATACAAAACTGCTGGCAGTCATATGGGGTCAAAGAAAACAATCTAAAAAAAAAGAAAAGTCTTAAGTCAGATTTTAAACATTTACTTACCTATCTGCCTTTTCTGTCAGCAACCTTAGTTCTGGCTCATTTAAAGTGATACATTAGTGATCGAACCGAAGTATTATTATGTAGTGGGATTAACTTTTGCCAGTTCACTCACCGCTCGCCTAAGTAAAGAGTCCTTTAATAATGAGAGGGCTCTTAGTGTTACCGTCCTTTTGTATTATTCACATACGGCGAGCGCGGGGCTTGCGAAATATTAAGTAGGATTAGTATTTCTAGCTGCAGGTTAAATTTTCAACACAAAATACAGTATAAGCAAGCCCCGATACTCACATTTATTTGCACAAGAGTTATATTTCATGAGAGATTTCGGGCCCGGGTTATCTCACTTTGTGGTGAAAACTCGTGTTCTTTTCTTACATTCTATATTTTTTACTGTAGGAAGCATTTGTGGAATATCAGTTGAACGCTAGGCAGTTTGGCTCAGAACCAATTAATTTAGTTTATTTTAGAATATTATGTGCTAGCATATTAGGGAAATGTTACAAGCATACCCGGTGGTGTTACGTTTAATATTTTGGGAAGGCTTTATTATTACTCGCAACGCTTTTTATTTTAGTACACAACCACTACACTACGATAAGTTACGAGTAGTTCAAATGTTTATCTTTACCCATTAGTTCCTGACATTGACAAAAAGAAAAGCAGAAAATCTGTATGTTTCATTCAAATAAAATCACGATGGAACTAAAGCACTCAACTGGTGATTAAAAGTTTCCCGCACAATATCCGAGAGTCTATTAGCAATATGGTTGATGCAAGCAATATTGTTGGTATAAAAGATAACCTTTAGTTACGGATTTGGCTTCGGGTAGAATAGCCTTCAACAACAAAGCTTCTCCGTTGTAATCAATTTAATCTGTTTAGAGTTTCCCTTACTAAATACGTGTATAATAATTTGATCCCGGTTGCTGTAGTTTGATAGTTTATAGATGTAGGAAATAACGACGAAGAAAAGTCCTTGATACCTTAATCCTTCAAGCTTCCGCGAATCTAGACACAATAGATAATCAATTGTTATGACATTAATTAATGCCGTCTGGGACTCAATCGGTAAAAAGAATTTTGAATTTAAGCCTGATTGGCTGTTATTGGATGTTGTTACGTATTATTGACAGCCAAATAATAATTTATATGAAACAACATCCCGTGCTAGGGCATTACAATCTTTTGTAAATATTTTTGTTGCACCTAATTTCCTGGACGGCATCCTAGGTTACTTCTGCTAAGATGTACTCCACAAAATAATTCATGAACTTAGTTACATACAGCGTGTAACCAACATGCCTAAAAAATTTAAAATTTTAATGAAGACGACCATTTTTCTAGATTTTTTGATAACATTTTTGTACGGTAGTCTTATTTTATTTACTTATTTAATATCTTACAGCCTGTATTACATAAATAAATGACACCTTTATTTAAGTATCATCCGATCGGTGTAACGACAAAAGCGAAATTAAAAAACGTGCAAAGTAATGTCACGTGTAAAAATAGGCGCAGTGGAACTCGTAAGCTCCTTTGTAGCCAAAGCTCCGTTTCAAGCTCATTAGTCCCGTCGTTCATTCGCAAGAAAGAACATTTTCGCATAAA